CTATCCAAGTCTTTGAATTCACAGTTCACAGCTAATGTTCTTAGCAGAGGAATAGAAAGAGTTAAACGATTCTGCTTCTGCTTGATGACACTTCCTAAAATTAAATATTTCAAAAAGGACATTTTTGGTAGGAGCGAAATAGTCAGTTAATAAATTTATCACATTTTTGTATGTTATTTCATTAGGTTGTGGTAAGCTGTCAAAAATATAAGCCACATCCTCACCAGCTAGATTAAGTAGTAGTGCAGTTTTCCTTACATCATTGGTAATGTCTGCAGCTAAAGCATACCTCTCAAATTGCTTAATCCACGTACCCCAACGCTGTGCGACACTTGCAGGATTCTTATGGGGGTCAAAACGATCAGGCTTATTGAGATCCATCATTATCCAACTATCCTCGTCGCCAGTTTAGTATATTGAAACATAATTAACAAAACCAAATTTATTGAACTCACAAATCAGACTAAACTAAAAAGTAAACAAAACATCTATCTATCTATCTATCTATCTATCTATCTATCTATACTATTATAAAGAAGAGGTGGTGTCTGTGTGTTTGTATGAGATAATCTCAAAAACTACTGAACCGACTGGGCTCAAATTGCACACAAATGAAGCTGCAGCTCTGAGGATACATATAGAACTATTCCCGCTTCGATATTGTCCTAGGGCTATGTCCCGTGGGCTTTCAAAAATTTGAGGTGAGGGATTTAAAAGTAAATATTGATTGATGGTATCCATGGTAACAAAGAACAAACCTACAAAGTTTAAAAATGTAAACAAGCAGACTAACTGTCAAATGAATTTTTATTTCACAATTCCACACAGCTGGTTCAAACATATTAAATACTGCACGAATATTAGAACAGAGAGGGTAAGGATTATAAATTTAAAATAATGATGTCACTAGCCCGAATGTAAACATTATTTAACATTACTTAAATGGAGCTTTCAAACCATATGTTAATGTAATTTCATTAGTATATGATTCTTTCAGTTACCGGTACTTAATTTGTTTATGTTTATGTTCTAATATTTGTGAAATGCTGCAATAATATTTTTTTGGGAATATTTCATTGTAAAAAGAAATTATTCATGGATATGAAATAATTAAAATTCTACAATCATTGCCGTATCAACCTAGGCCCGTATCCTGAGTTGTATGAGAATTATGTTTTAGATTTATTTTTGTGTTAACAGTAATTTGATATCCCTGCTGCAGCAAACCTATAGACTAAGCAAATTTCCATTTGCCTGATTGTAATTTCCCTAAAATATGATAAAAAAACTACCCTATTGACAGGTTTGGAACTATTTTGATAGCTTTTCGTTTACAGTCCAAACCATTATACAAGTTATTTTATCATACCTTAACGGGATTGATTTATTTAGTGTCTTATATAACTTAGAGTTAATCATTTACTACCACAAAATCTTCTTTCTACATCAATTACAACTCCATAATACCCCCGTCGCAGCACAGCTGCAGCCTAAGCGAATTTCCATTTGTATGACTTTATTTTCAATTAAATCTAAATCAATAACATTAGGTTTAACGAGTATCTAGGTTATGCTGCTACAGGGAGGGTTACGAAGTGTGATTTTAGGAAAATACTATTAGCTTAGTATAGAATTAATAAATTTGCCAAGTTTGATAAAAATATATTCATAAATATTTCAAGGAATTAAAGAATTTTGTCAGCTGTTTCAACTGCACAAGTTAGTTCTATAATATTTAATAGCATTAACATTTTTTAAGGTTTACCTACAGGGTGCAGCACTATTATTTTACTACCAGCAGGATATCTACCTCTTACCAGATTGCCAAGAGTTGTCCTTCTAGCGTCAGAGATCTTATTATCACAATCATTGAGCAGGTGATCGGCTGTTTCCTGTGACCTATCGCAATGCCAGCAGATCGGTTCACCATCTAATAAGCCCATCCGTTGTAAATGTTTCCTGAATTGCCCATGACTAGTTATTAGTTCCACCGTTAATTTAATTCTTCGCCTGTCTAGTCTCAAGAGGTCAGAGGCAACTAACTCTTTTGTAAGGCCTAAAGAGAGTAAGCTTAGCTTTCTAACCCTAAGAAGGGGAGTATCAACCCAACGTTGGCAGTGTTTTTCATTGGCCCCTAACGCAATAGAAGAGCATGCACTTTTTCATTAAATGCCACAGAAGGGTTGTGGACCTATCATTGTTGTCGCAGAGGCATCCTTTGCCAGTCTATCTGCAGCTTCATTTCCTTCAATGCCCTCATCTGTAATCCATCTGTAATCCACTGATTTTTTTTCAGTTTTAGTGATTAACATTTTTAGAAAAGCCACATTAAAATATAAAATTAAAATAACCATTGAAATTATTATATTTTTTTATGGGGATGCAAAGTATATATCCGCCGCCCAAGTTTAATTTCTTAAAAGCATGCTAAAATATTCAGTATTTTGTTGAGAGAATATACGTATATCTTGTTTCACTGACCTTTCATTTTGGTGTTTAAAATGTAAGCAATTAATTTCTAAGACTTGTCCTTAATGGTCTGACAGACATGTCACTATGCCTTCAACAGTAATATTAAATAAAAATATTTGGTCTTAACAAAAAAATTATCTACGGCAGTCTTTGAGTCTACAGTTATTCTTGTGGGAAAATTTACTAGATTATTTCATTCCATGACTTTTCTAGGTACTGTATCTTTTAGCATTTTACAATTATGATTTTTCTTTAAAATATAAATTTTAATATCTCCTCCTATAATATTATTATTAAATTTTTTACTATAAAAATCTATTAAGATATTCAATCTTTCAAAAAATATTTTTACAGAACATGGGGACCCATAAATACCTATAACTAAAAACATACATTTATTTTTTAAACAACTAGATGCACAAAACTTAAACTGCCTTTCTTCTTAGTAACTACTACAAAAACTAGGCACAGCCACCTTCTTCCATTCAATGTTTTCTTGTGATAGTAGGCCTATCATGACACCTCCCTTGTGTGATTTTTTCAGGTCGCTGGAATTTTATACCCCTGGAATATTACCCCCTGGGCAAAGTTGACGTCACTATGACGTAGTAACTTGAGCGCTCAAAAGTTTGTGCGCAGGCGGAATTGTACCCCCGTGGATTTGGAAGTTTAATGAAAATAGACAGAGCGTGATTAATTAGATTAGCAATAAAAACTGGAATTTTACCCCCTGTCCATATAACTAGCGTTTAGACAACTGAAGATGTATGGGCCGGATTTTTACCCCCGGAATTTTACCCCCGGAATTTTACCCCCGGAATTTTACCCCCCGGAATTTTAACCCCTGGTCAGATATAGAAATTATTAAATGAATGATGTTTGATTTTAAAATGGTTTACAATACCTGCATATAGTAATCCGTTGTTGCTGATTTAGGCAACTAGTTTCGGTTCTTGTTTTAAACCATCATCAAGCCGCAAGGTGTCAGGTAATCACTTCATTCAAAGGTCGTTGACAGAGTTCAATAAATAAAACATATACAAAACACGATAACATGGAACGGACACACATTACAAAAAACACCAAAAACACAAAGGGACATTGACAATCAATCGTGACCGGGCTGAGGTAAAGTCTAGACAATAACCAATAATTTATAATAATTTTTTCTATTTTTTTTATTGAACTCTGTTTGTTAACGACCTTCGAATAAAGTGATTACCTGACACCTTGAGCCCTGATGATGGTTCAAAACAAGAACCGAAACTAGTTGCCTAAATCAGCAACAACGGATTACTATATGCAGGTATTGTAAACCATTTTAAGTACAATACAGAAATCCGGAGGCTAAACAACTAGCTATATTTTAAAATGATTGATTTTCTTATTTCTATTTTTATTTAATTGTAAACATTTTATTATTGAGTAGCCTATCTTTATTTACTTATCTTGTAATCTCAACTAAGTAAACAGAATTTGCTGTTTAATTTTGATCATATTAACCAACAGTTGGCTTCAATGATCGAATCCTGATACTCGAATCTCAATATTAAAATTAAAAACCTGTTCGATTAACTGATGTTACATATAAATTAAGATAGGCTACTTAACAATAAAATGTTTACTATTAAATTAAAACTGAATTAAGAGAATTAACCATTCTCACTAATTTATATATCTGGCCAGGGGGTAAAATTCCGGGGGTAAAAATCCGGGGGGTAAAATTCCAGGGGAAAAATCCGGACCATACATTTTGAGCTGATCTCATGAAGGGGGTAAAAGTCCGGGGATAAAATTCCTGCCCGTACACTCTAGGTTTTTATAATTTGATGTGATCTGATTAAATTCACAACCGTGAAAATATACGTTTAATTCCGCGTTGAATCCATCGAACTGATGTCGCGAAACTCAAAAGTTCACGGCCGGATTTTACCCCCTGGTTTGTGACGTCACGTTAGCCCAGGAAGTAAAATTCCAGGGGCATAAAAATCCGCTACCCCATTTTTTCCTACAAAAAGATGCATTAATTTTATAATTGTACTAGCTGGCCCGACAGACGTCGTCCTGACCTAATATGTTTTTATGTCAAATGCTCGTTCATTTTCAAGATGAGCTCGTTCACATGGCTCAATCACGTCCTGGTTGAAGTTCGTTCGCTATGCTCACTCACTTTTAGGTTGGAGCTCGTTCGCTGCGCTCACTTGCCTTAATTACTGAATTTGTTATTAAAGTACTGAATTTAACGAAACCAAGGCTTTTTCATACACATCACTGGTCACTTCACCGATGGTAGGTTAATTGCTGACGACTGGATTCACCGGGCTGGCTGGATGGCTGCCGCTGGATTCATGGTGGTTGAGTAGATTGTCTTGAGTCCGGTAGGTCTTTGGAGCTGGTCTGACATGTTTGCACCAAAGAAGAAGCAGACACATAACGCTTACTAACTATGCAAAATATATAGCCTATAGGCCTTAAATTGTGTATAATAATGATACTTTTTTTTAATAATGATTGTTTTGTGTAGGTACCTTTCTCCGGCTGCCCAGCCACAGCTTCCATCTGTTCGAGTGACACGGTGCGGAAGCCGACCTTGATAGTCTTGTAAGTGTGTTCTTGGCCAGAGACAAAGCCCACAGTGAGGCTGTACAGATGTTGTTGACCTTGACCATTGGGCCACCACAGCTGGACACTCTCCTGCAATCAATGTAGTAACTAGCTACTCAGCTTGAGATGTCAAATAATCGGGTAATTGTTTCCCAAGCTCTAATTTAGAGCAAGGGAAAACAATCAGCTAACTTTTTCTTGCTTTGAAATAGTTCTTCATTTACCCACCACGTGTGCTACCGGTAGTGTTTGTTTATAATTTATTTCAATAACTCAAATAAGCTGTGTTTACTGTTTTATGGTACAAAAGTAACTTGACAGATCTGACTGTGAAGGGATTCAAACTCTTAATCTGTAGTGCTGTCCCTTGGCTTGGGAGAGCTGTAAGCTTGTTGAGTGCTCATAAGTAGCAGTTTTAAGTGAAAATTTTGTTATGTAACTCATTATGTTCGATATAAATGGACTTAGGAGTGTCACTCAACAGAAAATGAGAGAGGGTAAAAACACTTTACTCCTGTGTGATGAACTACATTTTTAGTCATGCTGTACCACTCATTGTAAAATTATAAATTAGCTCTGTAAGACCGGACGTAGGCTGATACGCTTTTGGCACGATGCAGCACACAGCAGAAAACCGTGCCACCATGTTTCCTTGCAGCACCACGTAAGCTGAGACGCATGCATGTATGTGTCTGGTGCGTCGGCCAGCATGTCACAGTTTGTAGCACTGACTGACACCGAATTTTGAACACATGCCACGCAACTCATTGTAAAATTATAAATTAGCTCTGTAAGACCGGACGTAGGCTGATACGCTTTTGGCACGATGCAGCACACAGCAGAAAACCGTGCCACCATGTTTCCTTGCAGCACCACGTAAGCTGAGACGCATGCATGTATGTGTCTGGTGCGTCGGCCAGCATGTCACAGTTTGTAGCACTGACTGACACAGAATTTTGAACACATGCCACGCAACTCATTGTAAAATTATAAATTAGCTCTGTAAGACCGGACGTAGGCTGATACGCTTTTGGCACGATGCAGCACACAGCAGAAAACCGTGCCACCATGTTTCCTTGCAGCACCACGTAAGCTGAGACGCATGCATGTATGTGTCTGGTGCGTCGGCCAGCATGTCACAGTTTGTAGCACTGACTGACACAGAATTTTGAACACATGCCACGCAACTCATTGTAAAATTATAAATTAGCTCTGTAAGACCGGGCTTAGGCTGATACGCTTTTGGCACCATGCAGCACTGACTTGGGGGGGTTGGCAGCCACAGGGCAGTCAGTGCTGCCGCAGCACTGACTGCCCTGTGAGATACACATGATTTCTAGCTCCTGCATTTAATGTTATTTAAAACTATTTTATCCAATCCAGTGCTATTATACAATTAAAAATCACTTTTACTAGTGCTTCGTTGACGGTAACACTCTGCAGCTACAATCTTCATTGTAAGTTTACTGACTATGGGTGAAATAAACTGTCGTCAATAACCATTTGGAACCGGCTTTTCTGACTCACCAACCACCAGCGTAGAGAAGGAGGGGGAAGGCTACGTCATTCCAATAACTAACTGGAAGCAGGTTTACGATTCTTCCCTGGAAGACACAACATTCCCCGCAGTCCTGCCTACACGTGATTGCTGCTCTGTCGGTATTCCACCTTTGCAGGCTCTGGCGCCCTACATTCAACATTACTTGCTTAACAGAAGAGGCTACTGCACTGCATCGATTAATCTACAGGCGACTACTAATCCTGATCGTCTACCCCTGCTACGCGTTGGAGTTGGACATTATTTTCTTCTTTCTTGTATAATAAACAAAAAAAATTTGACCTGGTTGGGAAAAGCAATGAATTCTTTTCTGAAGTCTCCGATCTTACATCACATATAAGTTTATTAACAGCCCAATGTCTTTATAGCAATGTCTTTTATACTATGAGAAGACAAAGCACCTCAACTCTGATAATCTTCTAAGACAATACTATATGAGATTAAAAAATTGAATATTGAAAACTAATTAGAGAATTAAAGAGGAAAATGGTAATTGACGAGATTTAAGAATCAGACAGTAAAACTAAATGTATTTGGAAAGTAATAAATGAAAACAGACCAAGAAAAAATAAGGCAATGGATGGTATTTATATTAAGGATAACAGTGGTGTAACAATTACTAATCCCAATGAAGTGTGCAACAGCTTTAACAGTATTTTTGCTGAAGTTGGTAGCTATAACAACAAAGGTGCGAGAAATCCTCTTAACTCCTGCAATTTAAACAATAGAAATGTAATGTTGTCATTTTTCTTGAAACCAGTGACTGAAGAAGAAATCAAAAGCATTATCAGTGAGCTAAAAAATAAAAGATCCTCAGGAGTTGATGAATATTTATGAAACTTCTGAAAACCATTTCAGGTCTGATCTCATCACCACTCTGTCACATGATTAACTGCTCCTTCGTTGAGGGAAAATTCCCTTCCAGTCTAAAACTGTCAATGGTAAGACACGTTTTCAAGAAAGGGGACAAAACAAATTGCAATAACTACAGGCCAATCAGTTTAATATCAACCTTTAAGAAAGTATTTGAGAAAGCAGTTGTTAATAGATTATGGAGTTTCCTAGAGTCCCAAAACATTCTATATGAATAAACAGAGTGGTGAGAGATATGGATTCACATCAGCAAGTAGCAGGGATGTTCTTTGATTTTAGCAAAGCATTTGACCTCGTGAACCATGAAGAAGAAGAAGAAGAGAAGAAGAATAAAAATTGTTTATTGAAATAAAATATCAATACAGTGTTTTTACATAAACACAAAGAACAATGGTCAAAGACCGTCTGTTTTGTGGTTGACATACTGATTTTACAATATTTTAAAACACTTTAATAGAGTCCATAATCACAAACTATAATTCATTAAATAAACTGATTTCTAGTAAAAAATACACAAAAAGCACTACATAGTAAAAAAGGATCAGTTAACAAATGAATCAGAAATAAAATTGAAATATAGCCAACTGAGAATCTGAATTTATTCTACAAACAGCAATAAAATATAAGTAGTAATTAAAAAAAACAAGGACAATATTTTATACATTTTTAAATTAAAAAAATTTTTCCCACTTTTGTATTGATATCTCAATTATTAAATTTAATAATTAAACTCCATTATCAATTCCCACTTTTTACACCACGCCTCTTTAAGATAATTTCCCAGTGCCCGCCAATCTTTGCCATTTAAAAATTCAAAAAAACTCATATTCATTTAAATGTAACTTGTTAAACCAAAATTGACGTACATTTTTAAAGTTGGACATTCTGCTATAAAATGGTACACCGTTTCATCTCGGATGGGATTACATAGTGATAAGTGAACATGAATAAATTTGATTTTCCATCCAGGGTTTATAGTTAAGATTTATTAACTCTGTTCTAGCTTTTATAATCCAGGACATAAGATTAACATTTAGGTCCGCAAAAAGGAACGATCTATCTCTAAGGTGGAGGTCAAGGTTCAGATACTGCTGGTGATAACGACTAGTCAATGCCGAACCCAGACAATCCTGTCGCCAAGCCGCTCTCTCTAACTCTAATAATTTAAACAATCGAGATTGAAAAATTTGCAATCTGTTAAAATCAACGTCCAACGCTACTCCTCGTCTTTCACCCATTTCTAACATTTCCCTGTACCAAAATATTTGTTTCAAAATTATCTGTCTAGCCAAGATATAAGGAAGCCTATTTACTGGTAAAAACAATACTCTAATAATATAACCAATGCAAACTTAATGTGTAAAAATAAACCTGATCAAACTGACATTCTAGGTGTAATACGTAATTTGGAGTATTCTGTGGCAATCTAAATAATTTTTTGGCAAAGTTATTTTGAGCTGATTCAACCGTTTCACTCTTAATAAATCCCCAAACTTGTGCTCCATAACCCAGCAAAGCTCTAACTATTGAATTATAACACACTATTTTTGCATTAATCGGCACTTGATTATTACTTATTAAATTACTCCAGATTAAATTAATAGCTAGTTTGGAAGCTGACGATTTTTCTTTAAAATGCATTTTCCACGAAAGTGAACTTGTGAAGTTTACTCCTAAATATTTATAATTGTTTACAATTTCGATTTGTTCACCCTTGTACCACCATTTAGAACTGGACCCAAGCCTTCCACCTTTTCTGAAAACCATAATTTTTGATTTAGCTAAATTTAAGCGTTAATTCCAAGTTTCACAGTAATTCTCCAATCGTTTAATCATGTGTTGAAGGCCGGCTGCAGTTGGAGATAAGAGAACAATATCGTCCGCATACATCAGGACATTGACTCTTACTCCACCATAACAACATCCTCCCTCTAGTACATCTGGCAAGTTGTTTATAAAAATAGCAAAATTCGTTGGGCTACATATACAACCTTGCCTTAAACCCATGGAGGTGCTGAAGTGCTCAGTAATTCCCTCCTGACACCACACTGTTGCTTTTGTGCCTTGATAATAATTTTTTAGCATATTTCTGTATTTTGACGAAACACCCATACAAGACATTTTATAAATTAAAGCCTCCCTATCTATTGTATCAAATGCGCTTGAGAAATCCACAAAAAAAGTAAACAATTTACCCTTTTTTCCGCTGATTGCAGATGAGCTATACAAGTGAGATTGAAAATGTTATCTATAGTCGAGTAACCTCGGCGAAATCCTGCCTGAAATTCCGTGAACAAACTTTTACCGTTGACCCAATTTACTAATATGTTATTTGTTAGACTGATAAAAATCTTTCCTACACAGTCTATAAACGACAATCCTCTGTAGTTTTCAACTAGGTTAATATCTCCTTTTTTATGTAATGGATACACTATCGACCTTTTAAACGATTCTGGAACATTCCCAGTTCTGTAAATATTATTAAAAACAATAATAATTTGATAAGAAATGAATCTGGAGCATACTTAAAATATTCGTATGGGACCCTATCAATCCCTGGGGCCTTGTTACATTTAACCTTTTTTAGGACGTTTTTCAACTCTCCCATACTAAAATCGCTATCTAAGAATGCATCTACAATCAATGGTTCGGCAAACTG